TGACAGCATAGAAGACATCTGTCCCAATTCAGAGCTTCCTGGGAAAGAGGTACTAATTTATTCTAGAATACCAACAAAATAAGCAAACTGTGAGTCTAAGGCTCCCGGGCATGGATATATAGCTTCAAAATCTGCCACATAGGGCTAGGCTACAGTGATTACAGAGAGATAACAATTTTGGCTGCTAGAGCCTTGGACCTTTCCACATGGCCCTTGTTTGGGCACAGATCTTGCACGCTCTGTTTGAACACAGCTAATTCTGCTTCCTCTGAATTGTTGCCTGGTCATAATGTCTAATTACTTAGTGGGTGATAAAGCCTTAAATCCCAACCATTAAGTCAACTTCTTGATAAGTAACTTGCCATGCAGCTGTTAGCAATGCTTGCAGGTGTTGGCTAGGAACCAGAGGCAAGCAACTTATGATGGCAGGCTTCTCACCTCAAGTCTGTTTCAATTCTATTCAACAAACAAGTATTGAGAACCTACTATGTGGAGGATGCCAGACTGGGCACTGAGACCCTCTGTGCTAGACACTGAGAAGTGATGAAGCCTGAAAAAGGAACTATATCACATTTCTGCTTTGAACAGAAAAATGCAAGGTAATTCTTCTCCTGCACAAATACGTCATTCAGAAGGAGACTGCAATATGCCATTGCTTTGTAGGGAAAATGAATAACTTGTCTCAATGGCTTCAGCGTGAAAAGGAGAAATGGGAAATCATCTGCTTCTATCAAAAAAGATTCATATACTATACCCAAAGGGCTATAAAACTGTGTATACCCTTTGATCCAGCAATACCACTTCTAGGTCTATATCCTTAAGAGATCATAAAAATGGGAAAGGGACCCACATGTACAAAAATATTTATAGCAGCTCTTTCTGTAGCAGCAAAGAATTGGAAATTGAGGGGATACCCATCAATTGGAGAATGGCTCAACAAGTCCTAGTATATGAATGTAATGGAATACTATTGCTCCATAAGAAATCATGAGCAGGAGGATTTCAGAAATACCTGGAAAGACTTATATGAACTGATGCAGAGTGAAGTGAGAAGAACCAGGAGAACATTGTACACAGTAACAGTAGCGTTGTGCGACGACCAACTTTGATAGACTTAGCTCTTCTCAACAATGCAGTGATCTAAGACAATTCCAAGACTAAAGATGGAAAATGCTATCTACAACCAGACAAAGAACTATGGAGTTTGAATGCAGATAAAACATACTATTTTTTTTCTCTCTCTTTTTTTTCTCGTGGTTTTCCTCATTGGTTCTGATTCTTTTTTACAACATGACTCAAGTGGAAATATGTTTAATATGACTGTACATGTATAACCTGTATCAGATTACATGCCTTCTTGGGGAGAGGGAAAATTTAGAACTCAAAATCTAATGAAAGTGAATGTTGAAAACTAAAAATAAATTAATTAAAAAAATATCCATAGCATATTAGGTCTAGGTGTGACCTTAGGAGTATCTAGTTGACTCTCTTCATCTTACAGATGAGGAAACTGAGGCCCAGACAAAGTGGTTTGCCTAGCTGTGCTAGGGGCAAAACTAACTTTGATTACTGCATACATTTCTCTATCTCTTAAAAGATGTATAAAGTACTTTTCTCAAAGCAACCTCAGAGATCAGTAGTATAAGAAGAAACCTAGGAACATTGGTTTGGAGCAGAAAGGGGCCTTGGAAAGCATCTGGCCTAATCCCTTCATTTTATAGATGAGTAAACCAATGTCTCTCAGGTAGTAAGTAGCAAAAACTACAAACCCAATCCAGGGTTCAAATCTACTACTTTATCTCCATTTTACAGATGAGGAAAATGAGGCACTGAGAGATGAAATGACTTACTTGTCCAAAGACATGAAATTAGAAATTGGCGGAGTGAATTTTTCTTTATAACTAATTTTTCTATTTCATGACCCCTGAAAAAACTTAAAGTACTATTATACTTATATAGAACATACATGTATTTACATACCTAATCTGCATGATTCTACCTGCTGGGTGAACAACAAACAGCCAGAAGAAAATGGAAAAATCCAGCAAATTTTGTGGACCTTCAATCTGTATGATGTCTAGCATGTGGCTTTAGGTGTGACTTCCTTCATGTGACAGATCTACCTACCTCTGAAATATTCTGGATCAATAGAATTTTTGCAAACTGAATGAAATCATCAAAGCTAATAAGGAAAGTGATTTCAGAGACTCCTGCTATGGAAACCTTCTGGCAAAGCAAAGAATCCTAATGTACCAGTCACCACCTTCAAATTTTTAAAGTCCATTAGGTTTTCTTAAATTAGGGGTTACACCTGTAATTGAAAACATCTATATGGTTAACTAAATCATCTACATTCATCCAGATGTTTTGGTGTCTTGTGTATGCCTTGACCACTTTGGTTGGTTTGAATCAATGCCTTGACACTAGGACTTGGCTTCTGAAGCACAGCAGTATCTTCATGGCAAACATTTACTTACCTCTGTGACTGAAAGATGTGGTCAATTCTCATTTCCAAAAATACCTGTCTAAATGTGGTCAAAGATATTTGGTATCTTTGCTGGAAACCCTGACTTAGAATCTGTTTCCCACGTCCTGTGGTTGGTAGAAGTGCCAGAGTTTATAACTAGGCATGTTTGTGGGTCTGTTTTCTGCTATTTCTTTTGTTTCTGCTATCTCAGACCTGGTCTTCTGGCTCTCCTGCACTGTCAGTCTACGCGCCTCCTTTCCTCATAATTCACCCAGGTGTCCCAGGGGATGCAAAATCTAGTCCCACCAGCTCAAAGTAATACTAATGATGATGATAATGCCTTAGTAGAAAGAACATTGGATGTGATGACAGAAGACCTAGTTTCAAATTCTGGTCCTCCTACTTATTTCCTGGGTAACCTTGGTAAAGTCACTCCCCTAAAATAAAGGGGCTAGGATTACACAGCCTTCAAGATTCCTTCCTATTCAAAATCTTATGGAATGTCATATTTTTCAGCTTTTAACTACCCACATGACCTTGTTACCTTATATGTGAAATGATTGGGTTGGATGACTTTGACTTTGAAAGGCCCTGCCATCCCTGAATTTATGGATCACAAAGATATTTCACATATATTATCTCATCTGACTCTCCTAATAATTCCTTGAGGTAAGTAGTATAGTATTATTATTGTTGTTGCTATTGTTGTTTGTCCTTTGGTCTTGAAGAGGACCATACCATCAGGGAGGTGATGCCATAACTTACAAGTGAATTGGATTCAAGTGAGGAGGGCTGCGCAAAGTCACCAGCCTCACTCTATCCTTGGGAGCCATCTGGGTCCAGTGGCAAGATATGGGATACCCATTTTATAGATGAGGCCCAAAGAGATTAAAATGATTTGCCTGAGGTCACACAGCTAGATAGGTAACAGAGCTGGGGCTCAAGCCCAGTCTTTCTATGGGAACCCAGGGGAATGGCTTATGAACCATTATTTCCAGTGGAAATTTCTGAGTGCAGCCAGAAGGCTGTGCGATGCTACCACCTACCATGTAATGGAGAAACAAGTGATTGATTACATGGAACCTCTCTGAGTTCTGAGCCTCAATGCTCAGAAAAGCTACTAAGACTTCCTAGTCCTTTGAGTCAGTCACCTATATTGTGGAGAAACTTTTCTCTAGCATCCTGCCTTCCAGGCCCCCAATTCATCAGAGAAGGCCCGCAGACCAAAAAGGCACTTCATGGACAATGAGGAAATACCTCCTGGATTAACTGCATAGTCCTGAACCTGGATTAATGGTCCCATTGATGAGTCAGTATATGTTCAGGTATCAGTGGTTCTGGGAACTGCTGTAGGAGTCTGAAAGGCTGGTATTGCCAGGCACACACAGTGGGTCTGGTTGTTGCTTCCATGTCAGGTGTCCAGTTCTGCCGAGGACTAACCCTACCTGGTCTAGCTTAAGGCAATAACACAAGGAGAAGGGCTTTGTCCATAGCTTCGCAGTTACAGGACCTTAGAAACCAGTTGGTCCAATTACTTTATTTTATAGATAACGGATCTGAGACCCAGAAAAAGGTCAAACAGGTAAACCTATCACACAGCTCAGGTTTTGAACCCAGGTCTTCTGGCTCCCTTATGACTTATAGCATGCTGAGTCACCCTTGAGAAATAAATTAGACCAGGCCTCCTTCCTTTACTTCCTTCTTTTGGGTGAGGAGAACCCTGGGTCTATATTAAGCTCTAACATGGAGATTCCAGGTTCTAGAGCTGGAAAACACCTCGGAGATTGTCTAGTCTAAGCCTCTCACTCTGTAGATGATGAAAATGAAGCAAAGGGAATTTAAGAGACTTTGCCCAAGGTTATACAGACAGTAAATATCAAAGGCAGGATTGAAACCCAGGTCTTTGGCTCCCAGCGCTCACAGTACTCCTTATATTCCAACATGTGATCGTATTTCAGAGCGTCTGGGCTAGAAGAGACCTCAGTGGTGAGCTACTCCAACCATCTCATTTTATAACTCAGGAAGCTGCCATCTTTTTTGGTGGCCTTGTTATGTTTCAAAATGCACGGAACAGAAGGACAGTATTAAAAGAATTGAGAAGGTTGTTTAGTGAAGCTTGAAGTGTCTACAGGTGTTTCCTCCTGTTGATCTGGGGTGACCCCCAGGGATTAGCATTTCTCCTAAGCAGAAAGCCAGAGAGAATTTGAGATGTAATGATGGCTCAGTCTTGTTGAGTGTTTAATACTCAATACACCACCCCTGCCCCCGCTTCCCCTAAATCCTTCCAGAAGGTCCTCCAGGCTCATCATTGGGATAATGAGGTATGACACTTGAAACCAAATTGTGTGTGCACACACATATGCACACCAGTTTTTGTAGTCCCTCCCCACCCAATTCCAGTGGCTTTCCTGATGTTCTAACCCAGCTGAAGGCTCATAGCTTATCGTTGGCCAGTTCAATGACCCGTGAGGGATCTTGAAATGGGGAGAGGAGCCCCATGCACCAAAGGGAAATGCACAGGTCTTGTGGTTGGGAGGATGTGATGACACCATCCCCCACGCAGAGGGAGCTCAGGGCTTTTAAAAAGCTGGAGGAAACATCCTCTGAGCAAGCCGTGGCCCTGGTGGTAGTAGAGCACAACCCAGGACAAACATAAAAGAAGCCAAACTGTCTGCTTCAAAGAGAAGAGGTGACATCCTGCTGCAGAGTATGCACTGGCAAAAATGTGAGTTCTCATTTGGCCTCCGCTGCTCAGCCTGGCAGGCATGGGGTCAGAGAGCAGGGAGCTCTTTGGCTGGTGTGGAAGCCCCAGGGAGCCAGTGTCCTGGGGCAGAGGTTGGGGCTCCCATGACCAGGGAGTAGAGAGAGGCGTGAAGTGGGTGGGATAGGGACTGGAAAACAAACCTGTCACACGCATGTGATGCTCATTTTCCAGCCTGGATGTAAGTTACATGCACCAGAGTGGGACAGCTCATCAGATCACAGCTCCAGGGTATGAATCACTGTGGTGAAAGAAAGGGCAGTTTATGATTCACAAGAATAATAGTAAGAGGTGGCATTCAGGTGGGGTAAGGGAAGAGGGCAGCTGTGGGTTAAAGATAGGAGTGTCTTAATTATTGCAAATGGCTATTCTTCAGGCCACAGTATCCCTTCCTTTAACGTATGGGAAAAATGCAGAAGTTGAGGTTGTGAAGATGCGTGAATACCAATTATTCCTTGTCCCATCCTGTCAGTGACTTGAAAGGTTTAACAGAGATTATGCTTTTCATGCCTTGGTTCCCATGAAATACGGCAAACCCTGTTTACATTAAATGTGAAGTAGCAAAGATCAATCCCAGAAGTGCATTATTTCCATTTGACATTGTTTTGAGATTATCCCAAACTCATCTAATTATAAATGGCTCCTTATAGAGCACTATTCTTATATCTGCCCTGTAGGTGGGTTGCCCAGATATTATTGGCCTTGTTTTACAGATGAGGAAATTGAGGAAAGTTACAAAGCTAGTAATTATCAGAGCCTCAGGAATAGTAGAATGTAAACTCTTTGAGGATAGAGATTATTTGTTTTTCATCTTTTTATCCCCAGTTCCCAGTACAGTATGCTTGACAACTAATGGGTTCTTCAGAAATGCTTGTTGAATGGAATTAGATTAAATTGACCTAAAATCAGGTCTTTTGACTTCTAGTTAAGTACTGTTTCCATAGCAACATTCAGCTTCTCATAATTCTTTTGTGTTGAGATGACAATGCTACTGATTATTTTTGTGAAGGTTGCATTAGTGTGTTGGTTCTCTTCTTCCTTGTTATAAATATTAATGAAAAATTGTCATATCTATCTCCCAAGTCTTAATCGATACTTCCCTTGCCATCACTGCCAATGCACATATATCTTGCTTCTGGCCAACCACATCCAGATAATCTGAATTTATACAAGATAAGCTTTTATTTTGGTCTAGATCTATAATTCCACTCATGTAGAGATCTCCCAATGAGGAAACTTCTCCTTATCAATTCACTTTCTCTGCAATTTATAGTCTTGGAGAGCTGCCTGAAACATTGAGAAAATAAACATTTGCCCAGGTTCACACAGCTAGTATTTATCAGTCTTCCTGACTCCAAGGATAGTTCTTTATCCACTACACCATGTTGCTTCTCTTCCCTTCCAGTTAACAGAGAAAATACCATTAATTACCAAGCCTGACAAATTCCCAACGTGGAGACTGCTGACCACTGACAACAAGTATACTCACTTGAAAGTTACCTCTTTCTCCTACCTAGTAAGATGTTGGCTCTTTATCTGCTATGCCATGCTTCCTATTAAGAGAAAAATAGTGGTGTGATTATTCACTGTATAAAACTACACACAGACAAATTCTTTTAAAATTTCACCTTTCCTAGTATATCTAAAATACGATTTGATGTAGAAAAACATGATTTACACACAACCTCACATTCTATTCATTCCATAAAGTGAAGAACATTTGTATACCTCTCTGTTGGATACACTTGGCACTAATATAGAAAATAACATAGAGAGTGTATGGTGCAGTGGGTAATGTGCTGAATTTGGTAGGAGGAAGACCTAAGTTAAAATTTTCCCTCAGATACTTACTAGCTATATGACCTGCAAGTCATTTAATCTGTTTTTGCCTCATTTTCTTTATCTGTAAAAACTGGGGCAAGGTTAATGATAGCATCTGTTTCATAGAGTTATATGTGGATCAAATGAGATAATATATTTAAAGTACTTTATAATCCCTGTATTGCTATTTAAATATTAGCTATTACTATTATTACTTTCATGCTTTTTGGATCTCTGAGCCCTACTGTTGTTTGATATTGCCAGAAGGTGATATTTTACAAATTAGGTTATATTAAGATATTTTGATATTTATGATCATTTCATGATATTCTCCAGCCAAACTCATACTCTAATATGGCACACTCATATTAAACATACTCAATCATGTTGGACGTTGTTATATTCTGATATGAGCACTAAGATTTGCCAGTTTTAAAGGTTAAGAATGTTTGAGCCATTTTGATTTTTTTTTTGTCAATGTGGAGAATGCTGTGTGTGGCAACTCCTTTCCCCAAGGTAAATTTCAATGAATAAATGACTTGTAGTTAAGTCCTAGGAGGCATCGCATTATAGTAGAAAGAACACTAGTTCTGAAGTCAGAAGACCTGGGTGCCCAGGGTCACAGCTAGTAAGTCTCAAGTGTCTGGTCTGAGACTGGATTTGAACTCAGGTCCTCCTGACTCCAGGGCCGGTGCTCTATCCACTGAGGCACCTAACTGCCTTTGAACTCTGTATTACTTGTATGACCTTACACAATCATTTGACCCCCTGAACCTCAGCTTCCTTATTTGTAAAATGAGATTAGACTAAGTGGCCTCAGAGGTCCCTTTCAGACCTAAGAAGGTATACTTCTGCCTGTTAGCTATGACTCAGAGGCAATGCGATTGAAATCTAAGCTATCACACTTGTGTTTACTGGAAGAACTATGTTGACATTTTTCTATGGCTTAACTCAATTTCTCCCTGACAGTCTTTTTGAGATGAAATGGAAATGAGAAAACATGAAGTTTTGAACATTCATCTCATTGCCTTAAAAATGTGCATGACTCTTTAAAGTACTGATGACTTTAGGGAAAGTCAGTACAAATAAAGACAGGGTAGTCAGCCCTTTTAGAATACTTAAAGTAAAAAAGTGCCTTGTACCTTACCCCACCCCACTACAGGGCAGAGTATGAAATCACACATTAATGGTGCTGAAGAGGCACTTTCTGTTTCAGAAAACATCCTCCAGGCATGAGCTGAAATGACTGTAATAAGCAGTGTTCTGGAAAGGGTTAAGAAAACATCAACTTTGAAAATAGGATGCTTCATCCCTGCCTTATCTGTGTTCCCCCAGGAAGCTGCAAAAGGCATGGGTAGTAACCCACATATGGAGATGGGCTAATGGAACAGATCAGAGCAGAGACAGTGACAAAACTCAGGCCTGTGGGGACCAATTTGGACCAGGAAGGACTACTGTCAGTCTCCATTAGAATGTCACCTTCTCAAAAGCAATGACTGTTTTTCACTGCATAATGCCTGTCACAGAGTAAATGTTTAATGCATTCTTGTTGAATAAATGAATTAAAATAGCAGTCCTGTTTAGCCAAAAGTGATGGATGGACTTGTTATTAAATTGCTGGGCCAATAAGAAAAGGATGGTGTTTTGCATTCATAAATGTGGAGAATCCCTATACATTCAAATTAGGAGGTCTCTTTTAATTCCAGGAAGCTAATTAAGTCTCCTTTAACATCTCAGATGGACCTGATGGTGGCCTACTGAGTCACACCAAGTCCCCTCCTATACCTCCTTTCCTGTTTTAGTAATTTAAAAAGGCTCAAACAATGAGAATTTTTTTTAAGTTCCCTAGCTACAGACTTTTAAAAACAATGAGCCAGATTTTCCAAAGGCCCAGAATAGCTGGGGCAGTAAACGTGGCACTTGCTCTTTGGGGCCACTAAGGAAACATGCAGTCCCAAGCTGCCTAATGTTGAGAAATTGGGTGAAAAGGGAAGAATACAGTAGGCTGACCACTTTTTTTCTTCTCCCTGATACTGAATAGTGATATAACTTACCAAATATTCACTATGAGCCAACTATATGATTTCTCTTCTAAATCAATTAAAATGACCAGCTGTTTTGAGTCATATATGTACAGCATCGCCACATCTGGTTGAAAAATGAACATTATAGTCAAATAATAGTTTTGTTTTTGGTTTCAGGTGTATATATCTATAGAAATGCCCTTCACCTCCTCCCCCTCTCCACTCCCTAAAAACCTCTGGCTGACTGACATCATTTTGGTGTGGAAAGGATCTTAAATTGAGAGCTTTAACTAACTACAGATGCCATCTGTTATAATCCCCTTCATTTTATAGATAAAACTGAGGCCCAGGAACATTAAATGACTTACCCAAAGTAGTAAATATCAGAGGCAAAATTTGAATCTATGTCCTCAGATTTCTGAGCCAATCTCTTTACACTGTACCTTACAGTAGTGTGGCTTCCCCAGTATATTGTTCTAGTGTCTGAAGACCTTATGGTAAGCAATGACAGCAAATGTAGTTCCAAGTTATCATAGTACAAGTGTTCCTTTACTTTATGAAAAAAATCAACATATTCAAATAAGAATTTTTAAAAAAGACAAATGAGGAGATGTCAATTCAAATTACAACAGGATTCTTCAATTCACAAAAGGACTTACATCAAGATTCTTTAAGGGCCATGGGGTTTATAGTGAGAAGAGATTTTAAAGACTAACCAATAAAATACCCTCCTTTTATAGATGAGGAAACTGAAGGTGAGAGACTTAAGTCTTAAGCCTTAAGCCTTTCCATTTCATCAAGTCCAAGGTCATTCAGCAAGAGACAGAGCTAGGATTTGAATCCAGGTCTTTTGATTTCAAATCCGGTGCTCATTTAAAAAAGCAAGTTCTTTTAAGCCACCATCAGTCATAAATATCCAATTTAGTCATAATATTTCCACAATATACCTACTGAATAGAGCGAGGCACACCTATATTAAGAAGTAATTTGGGGTCTGGGAGAAATAGATTCAAAGGTTCCTGTGATGTGCTACATGTACTACTTGCCTCATTTAACAGTGGCCAGGAAACATTTCTACTTATGACCTACTCATTCTGATATCCACCATTTCTGCTGATG